CATAATAAGCATCGAAAAGGGACTCAGGAACGAAGGCCCCCCACACCAACCTCGCAGCCAAGCACAAACCATCCGTAGGTGACGGCTATATGAACACAATCCAAAAACCACCAAGCAATAAACCGAAGCACCCAGGTCGCTAACAACCAAGCCAAAAAGGGGAAGCAGGGGTCCTCCTCATCATCGTCCACCAAACATCAAAAAGCACCGACGAAAATAGCAAAAGCCAAATACCAAACCCTATTTCTTTTTGCCTTTACTTTTATGCTTTTTGCCACCCGCATTAGGAAAACCACTATCATCCACCGTTACCTCCTCAAATTCATGAACATCCTCTTCCTCCCCGCCAGAAAGAGAAGAAAGGGAATCCTCCAAAATCAGCCAGTCAGTTTGAATCAAAATCAAGCTTTTCACCGACTTAGCCACATGAGCTTTTATTTCAACATTAGACATAATCAAAATATGGATATTAACAAAATCAACATTGCCCTCAAAGCCATCACTGGAAGCTAAAACCGATTGATTATAAACCTACAAATTCGAAGCCCATTTAACAGAAGAAGAGGCAGCATCCCGATCAATAGAAACCATAAGAGAGGATACACCACAACCAACCAATTCCTGACTAGGAGAAACAGGAGAGCCATAAGGCTCAATGACCACACAAGGTACATCAGTCACAGCCAAATCGTACGGGACAGGCTGAATCAAAGCAGTAGTATCATAAGCCTTGTTAGAGACCTTGATAGAATTAGATAAATCCGCCACATGATGACAATTCTCGACCGCATGACCGATACTTTTACTAGAAGCACAAAAATGAGGGAACTCATCCATAACCACTTGTTGGACAAAGCCGGTTTTCTCAAGGCCTAACCAGACCTTATCCGAGAAAGATTTAATGATATCTTGCTCCACTATAACACGAGCTAAGGACATCTTGGAGCCGATAAAAGTGCCATAATCAATTTTCAATGGTTTGCCAAAGAGAGAGCCCAAACTGTTGAGAATATGGGGAGAAAAGAGGTATGGACATAATTGCGAAAAAGAAACCCAAATCGGGATCACCGGCTACTCAACACTTACATCAACTAAGGGAGACCACTTGGTAAGCTTCATGTAACAATTGTAGACCAAATAATATCTATGACAGAACATCCTACAGTAATGTAAGTCATTAGTCAGTTTGATAAGGATATGCGACGAATCCAGCAGGGTGACCGAAACCTCCCCATTCAGCTTGAGGTTGAAGAAAAAATCTATGAATGGAATATAGAGAAGGCCACTTGGAGGGAAAAAACTACTAAAGAAAACTGAAAAAGGAACACTAATGCCTGGATTTCCTGTTCTGAAATCCAAACGGAAGGAAATTCACGAAAAGAGGATGCCATAAGTTTCGTAAATTCAGTGATAGAAGAGGAGCCCGCAAGAACATCCAAAAAAGAACACGAAGAAGACGAACATACAAGTTTATGATAAGATTGATAAAAATTATACAAAGGCATTTCATTAATATGAATCACATGATTTATATGATATACATGTATAGTATCGACATTATACGATATGCATATGAATATGACAGATGTATAAATTTTCTAAACTAAAATAGATAGAAACTATTATATAACTAATGTGTATAGAAATGATAGACTTTACTGACCATTTGTGTATGGTTATCAGTTGCTAATCACTGCTCTTAAGATTTATAATTTTAGTGTTATTTGTTGATCATATGACATGTTACTATTTCATTGATTATTGCATGCTTCTTGTAGTAATATGTTCATATGGATAGTTATTTAATTATTACAAGCATAATATTTTTATTATTGATTTCAGTTGTAGACTCATATAACTTACTAAGTTGTTAGCCAACTATGTTGTTTTACATATTTTTAGATTGATTCATATTGATGAATTCATAGAAGATCTGATTAATTAATTTGGAGTGTTACACCAGGTTACCCATTTATACCTAGTTCTTGCATGCTCTAATTTCTTGACAAGGATACTTGCCCTCAAGAAGGTTTCTTATAGAGAACTCGTCTGGGACCTATAGAAAGGACTCAATCGAGGAGATTGACAGGCTCAACTCACTTGAGCCTATTATAGAGCTGGGTCTGTATGGGGCAAATTGGTGCTATTTACAACATCTTCCTTTTTATAACAATTAGATGTCTCAATTGTTGGGGAGAAAGTAAACAACGCAATAAAATAAACAAAAAAAAAATAGAAAATTACAGCGGAAAGAAGACAATATCATGATTTAACATGTAAAAACTTGAAATCGGGAAATAAACAACACATCCATGCCACGCCAAAAAATTCACTATGAAAATTTGAAGAAATAGTATAGTTTTATCTTCTCTCGCTCTCTCCTTATTTCTCTTCTCTCTAACACCATTCTTATACAAGAACAAATCAAGACATACACAACACCCACCAAGGGAATCTACCCAAAAAAAAAAAAAGAGAAGGAAACCTGCTCTGTCCAACTCACAGCGTCGCGGTGCCAAGATGGAGAGACGTGGCGCTCAATTCTCTATCTCCTATCTATATGACATCGTCGTAGCGCCGAGGTCTTGAGCTGCACAGTGCCCCTGTCAGCGACGTTGTATCAAAGTTTGGAGCGTCACAATGCTCCTCTCTCTATTTTTTCACCAAACTATGCAGTGTCATGATACTCTGGTACACGCCATTGGAAATTTTGTATTAAAATTTTACTTTAAAAAATAATAAAAAGTTGGTCCCAAAGGAGCTGTTAAGAACTGAACTATTGAAGCTTAAAGTGAGTGAACCATCGCTTTCAGTATTTTGCTCTTGTCCGCATTCACAGCGTCGTGAAAGTCTCACCATAGAAAACTTTGTAAGATCATTTGATTATTGCTGTTAAAAAATATCTCAAATTTTCTGAAATCATTCAACTACAGATTTTATCTAAAAATAATTCATAAATAAATCAGTAAGTCATTTAATCACTATTTTTTCTGTTTTTAAAAATTTTATACTAAAAAAAAATTTTACTGACTAGTAACAAAGTAAAAAAATTTTACTGACTAGTAACAAAGTCATGCCAAATGAAGGCTTCATTTTGGACAACTTTTTTGTTGCTTTTTAAAAATATTTTCTAGTACAAAATTTTTAATTTATTAAATTTTTGTACTAAAAAAATATTTAAAAATCAGCAAAAAATTTGTCTCAATTGAATTTGAAGTCTTAAATTTCTTTTGGGACAATTTTTTTATTATTTTATAAAAAAAAAATTTAGTTTTTTTTTTTTCTAAGAAAATATTTTAAAAAGCATTGAAAAGCTATGAAGCCTAAGAAAAGAAATTTTTTTTTTTTGAAAAACCTTACACGTCTGTTTTAGGCCTGAGTCGGGTTTTTTTTGACCTTTTCTTCCTTATTGTTTTGGCAATTTTTTGGGCTTCTTTGAGGGGTTTCCTCTCTGGTTGGGAGCTAGTTCTTTTTGTAATGAATTTTTAGTGATTTAATATACGGGCTGATGCCCTAAAATTTCAAAAAAAAAAAAAATTGTACTAAAAAAATGTTTAAAAAATCAGCAAAAAATTTGTCTCAATTGAATTTGAAGTCTTAAATTTCGTTTGGGACAATTTTTTTATTTATAAAAAATATTTTTAGTAATTTTTTTTTCTAAGAAAATATTTTAAAAAGCATTGAAAAGCTATGAAGCCTAAGAAAAGAATTTTTTTTTTAAAACCATTCACGTCCGTCTCTGCATCTTCTGAACTGTCAACAGAGCTAAATACAATTTTTATTTTTTTTAGGGAATAATACAAATTTATTTTAATTGGGTGACTACATGCAGCGAACCTAAAAATCTAATTCAATAAATATATATAGTAAGCTCCATTATAGACGTCACGTTCCTTAGAATCTCTGATCCTTCGATGTCTTTTTTTTGAGTAGATCCTTCGATGTTACTTATCCCAAACTCCTCTTTAACCAATTTTTTTTTTTTCTAAAATAGAGTTCAAAAATAGAAATCCATTTAAAATAATAAAATATAACATTGAATTTTTTTCAAAAAGTTTTTGGAACTTCGAATTTTAAATCAAAATGTTATTTAATTATTTTTTATTCTTTCTAATGGTAAAATTATGCAAATAGAAAGTTAAGCATGTAAACACTCTTTAATGTTTTAAAAGATAATTTTTTAAGCATTTAATTTTAATACTATTTTTTTATTCCATTATTAGAATTTAACCACTTTGTATATATTCAATTTTATCATTACCGTAAAAAAATTAAATAATTATTCCCAGCTCTTTATAAACTCATATCATTCAATTGCTTATATTTTTCATTACTTAAATGAATTTGGTGATTTTGACTCTTCTTGAAGAGAAAAATAAAATTAAGTAAAATGTTACAAAATTGAGGATGTTTAGAGGAATGAGTGGCTTAACTCTTAATTTGAGGCAAAATGCTTCTCTCTAGCAGTAAATAAGATTGGAGAGAAGTATTAAATCCTTTAGTCACATAAAATATTGATCTTCCCATGGCCCCCATTTAAGAAGTACATATATTAGATTTGGTCTATATTAAAAAATGTTAAAACGTGAATAAAAATGATCTTTTTTTTATTAAATTTAATAGAAAATCGAACTCTTAGTCATAATGGGAAAAAAATCATGTAACACGCAGGTAATTTTTAAGTGGGGGGTATTGCCCCCTGGAAACAAACCTCATATAGATAAAGACTTTTTGACCCTTCAAAGTGAAAATTTTATCTCATAATTTTGTTTCTATGTGCTAAATCTTCATATTAAACTAAAATATTTGCATCATTTAATGCATAAAAAATTTTTGATATGAATATCAAGATTTAATATATATGTGATGTAAAAATTTAGATGTTAAATATCAATATCATTTACGAATTATTTAATGCCAATATAAATTCATATATAGAGAGAGAGAGAAAAAAAAAATAATATATTTATCAAGAGATAGAGAGAGAGATAAGATTAGTAGAGTCACAAAGAGCCCGCCCACAACTCCATAATAAACTGAAGCCGCAAGTAAACATAAAATAAAATAAGGCAGGGGTACAAGAGGCTGGACGACGAGCCCACTCAATGCTGACCGGCCCGCTTAAGACAGGCAGGCCAATCTCTCACCGTTCAATACTGCACGCTCTCAAAGATTTGAACTTTTTTTTTTAAAATATTTTTTAGGGCAGAACTGGAGAAGCACAAAAATAGAAAAGTGACACGACAACTGAACACGCTAGCTGGCACCCACCATCTTATTTATTTTTTGGTATTTTCCCGACGCTGGGCTCCGCCGGCCGGTGCAGTCCTGATCCCTCAGAATTCGTTGCGGTACCAGTACACTCCCTTGCGCTTTCCCGTACCCTCCTCAGGCTCCACATAGATGCACTCACTGGCCTCACGCCACAGCGCCTTCACCACCGGCGTTTCGTCCAAGCGGTAATAATCGCCGAGCACCGGCCGGATGGCCTTGGTAGCCTCCATGGCGTGGTAATGAGGCATGGTGGAGAAGAGATGATGCGCAACATGAGTGTCGTTGATGTTGTGAAAGACGCGGTTGAGGAAGCCGTAGTCACGGTCCACGGTTGCGAGCGCGCCGCGGAGCCAATCCCACTCGGAAGAATCGTAGTGCGGAAGGGCCGGGTGAGTATGTTGTAAGAAGGTGATGAGAACGAGCCAGGCGTTGACGATGAGCAGAGGAACGCCGTAGATGCGGATGACCCATGAGATGGAAAAGGCGGTGGCGAGGCGGTAGAGGAGGTATAAGACGGCGAAGATACCTGCGTCGGATGCAAAGATCTGGGCGCGCTCCCGGTCGTTATAGATTGGGCCGTAAGGGTCGAAGTGGTTGGCGAACCGTTCGTAGGGGCGGCCGGAGACGTTGAATAAGATGTACATGGGCCAGCCGAGTGTTAGGGTTACGGCGATGGTTAGGACGCGGCCGAAGGGGTTGTTAAGGTAGGGTGAGAACCAGGGGATGGAGGATCGGACTTTGGGCACGAAAACTTCGTCGCGGCTTAGGGATCCGGTGTTCGAGTGGTGCCGGCGGTGTGAGTATTTCCAGGAGAAGAATGGGACGAGGAGGAAGGAATGGAGGACGAAGCCTACAAGGTTGTCTAAAACAGGGAAGTCTGAGAAGGCGTGATGGCCGCATTCGTGGGCGATGACCCAAACGCCGGTGAGGACGCATCCCTGAGCGAACCAGTAGGCCGGCCAGGCGATGAAGTGGAAGGGTGAAGGAAGGGTGGGAAAGACGGTGACGGCGAGGTAGAAGAGGCCGCCGGCGATGAGGAGGTCCTGGACGACGTAGGAGAAGGAGCGAAGGGCGGATCGCTCGAAGCAGTGTGGGGGTATCGCCTTTTTTATTTGGCTTAGGGTGAAAGGGGGCTTCTCCGTGGGGACTCGGAGGAAAGGATCCGAGATATCTTCACCGCCGGATTTTCGTCGGAGGAATTCCTGCTCCTCCCTCTCCTTGGGCGTCATGCGGCCGCCGGCTCCCATGGATCTCCTCTGATTTCAGTGAGAGGATGGCGTGAGGAGAAACGAGACTAGCGTGGTTCGCTGTTCGATAGGAGCTGGTGGCCGAGATGCTTGCGGGGTATAAATTAAGAACTTTTTGTGGGAAAAGTAAGCACGTGACGTTGCCTCGTCTTGCGGGGTATAAATTAAGAATTTTTTTAGTGATTGCCTCGTCTTACGGTGGAGAGCTGTGCGCATATCTTTAAATAATAAATTAAATTTGTTAAAAAAAAATAAAACACGTGACGACGACGAAACTAAGGTGGGGACGGCCACGCGGCAGCTTTGTTCAATAAAAATAATAATGGAGCGCATGGTGCCGAAATTAGCTATTAACACTATTGTAGAGGCATACAATACTGCACTTAAAATAATTGCAACAAATAAATTATATAATGTTATGACCGCAGGCTGCAGCGATTAGGTTAAAGAGTTAATTTAAAAAAAATTTCTAATCATTTAAAAAATAAAACTCATTACGTATTAGATGTTTTTTTAGATTTTTCTCGTAGGATAATTAAGATATTTATTTGTAAAAAAACACGATAATCGAGAGAATATTTAAAAAACATTAATTAAAATATATAATTTATATTAAAAATACGAAAAGAAGGAAATTACATGTTAAAAATTCATGAGGATAAAGATAGATTTTTCTGCCTTAAATTTTCATGAATATTCTAACGTTCCGATCAAAAATGCAATAAATAATAAATTTTCATATGAAAAGCACAGAAAAAAAGTTACTATGTTTGGCCCAGATCACTTACAATATTCTACTTTTTTTTCCCTCAATTAGAGAAGATTAAATTAGAAAATATGTAACACAAATTAATATTTTGTACAGGCAATAAAAAATTGTGGAGATACATCAATTGGGAGGTGCTTGTTGCAAATTGATAAATTCTTGATGGTAGAGTGAGAGAGTTGTTCATTTTCACAATGCATGAATATCTACTAGACTACCACATAAATAGATATTTGGGAGAGCAAGGGAATATCATAATTTTTTTATGTTAAAAATCCAAAAGGGAAAAACTAGGGCCTTGCCCACGTGAGAAGTTTCCACTATATTTGAGTGAGTTAAAAATGTTGACCCACCCCTTAGAGATGGAGAAATTACAAGTTTTGAGAGTCTGTCAAACTTTGTATGAGCACTCGAGAGTTTATAATTACCATTATCAGATGATAGAGGTTGAAAATTTGATAGCAATGACTGGGAGAAGGTCCAGCGGAGGTCGACGGCTAGGTGGAGGTCTGAAGGCTATCAGGTGACTGGACGGAGATTTGGGTCTATCGGTATGGCCTGGTACAGGTTCTGTCAGCGATCTGTTGCCCAGCGGAGGTTTGGCGACTTTCGGAGGCTTGGTAGAGTTTTTGCCAATGATTTGTTTCCAAGTGGAGGTTTGGCAATTGTCAAAGGCTTTTTAAAGGTTCGGTGGTGGTTGGCAGCCGAGTGAAGGTTCGGCGCTGGTCGGTAGAAAGAAGTTCACCTTCACTGGAGTTCTAGAAGCTTCAAAGCTCACTCCAATCTCTCGCAAAAGATCTCCCTCGTGTACAGAGTGGTGGTCTATTTATAAATTTTGATAGTAGTACGCTCTATAATATATGAAGAAGATTTAGAGCAAATTTTGAGTGCTCCATTAGACAACCTATATTGATTCTCCAGTTCATAGAGCATTCATTTAAGCGTTCTATTGTCATAGTGATATGAATTAGGTGATCTTAGGCTCGTTGGATTCCTCTCATCAATCCGTTTAATTCGACTATTAGCATGTTATATTTGGATATCGTTTGATTATCCAATTAATGATTTAAAGCTTTTGAATATACTTTAAGCCTTTAATTTGAGCTCATTTCAACTCGAATTTGATTGATTTTGGTATCATTAGGTTAGTCTTGTCGAGAAGTTCAACTTGACAATAAGTTTGCTGAAATTAAAGTTTGGATGGTCCTAAATTTAATTTTGAAAGTTTTCAATTCAAATATCCATCAAAATTTGCACTCAATCAAAACAAATTTTAGTTATGTATTAGTGCTAATCAAGCGATGATGATCAAATTATAGTGGTAGGGTGATGATAGTAGAGCAATAATAGTTTGATGATGGCAGTCTCACGAAGATGGTCAGATAAGAGTTAATGGATTATGATGATCAAATGATAGTGGTGTCATGATGACAGTCATGAGACCGGCGGTCTAACGGCGCCGTCCGGCGGTCTACGAACCAGACGATGCCAGTTTTAAACAACCGGAAAACCGCCGGTCACTTTACCGGCGGTTTTCCGGCGGTTACAATACCGGCGGCCTAACCGCCGGCAAACCGACGGTTAAAATTCCGGTGGTTACCGGTGGTATTAGCCGCCGAAAAACCGCCGCAAAAATAAACCGCCGGTAACACGCCGTCGGAAATGGTTTCCTATGCCATTTTTTCTGACGGTTTACAAACCGCCGTTAGACCGCCGGTAACATTAAAAACCACCGGTAAATCTAGACAAACCGCCGGTTTTCAGCGTTTTTCCTATAGTGTAAATAGATATTTGGGAGAGCAAGGGAATATCATAAATTTTTTATGTTAAAAATCCAAAAGGGAAAAATCAGGAGCCTTGCCCACGTGAGAAGTTTCCACTATATTTGAGTGAGTTAAAAATGTTGACCCACCCCTTAGAGATGGTGAAATTACAAGTTTTGAGAGTCTGTCAAACTTTGTTTGAGTACTCGAGAGTTTATAATTACCATGATCAGATGATAGAGGTTGGAAATTTGATAGCAATGACTGGGAGAAGGTCCAGCGGAGGTCGACAGCTAGGTGGAGGTCTGAAGGCTATCAGGTGGCCGGACGGAGATTTGGGTCTATCGGTATGGCCTGGTACAGGTTCTTTCAGCGATCTGTTGCCCAGCGAAGGTTTGGCGACTTTCGGAGGCTTGGTAGAGTTTTTGCCAATGATTTGTTTCCAAGTGGAGGTTTTGCAATTGTCAAAGGCTTTTTAAAGGTTCGGTGGTGGTTGGCAGCCGGGTGAAGGTTCGGCGCTGGTCGGTAGACAGAAGTTCACCTTCACTGGAGTTCTAGAAGCTTCAAAGCTCACTCCAATCTCTCGCAAAAGATCTCCCTCGTGTACAGAGTGGTGGTCTATTTATAAATTTTGATAGTAGCACGCTCTATAATATATGAAGAAGATTTAGAGCAAATTTTGAGTGCTCCATTAGACAACCTATATTGATTCTCTAGTTCATAGAGCATTCATTTAAGCGTTCTATTGTCATAGTGATATGAATTAAGTGATCTTAGGCTCGTTGGATTCCTCTCATTAATCCGCTTAATTACTATTAGCATGTTTATATATTTGGATATTGTTTGATTATCCAATTAATGATTTAAAGCTTCTGAACATACTTTAAGCCTTTAATTTGAGCTCATTTCAACTCGAATTTGACTGATTTTGGTATCATTAGGTTAGTCTTGTCGAGAAGTTTAACTTGATAATAAGTTTGCTGAAATTGAAGTTTGGATGGTCCTAAATTTAATTTTGAAAGTTTTCAATTCAAATATCCATCAAAATTTGCACTCAATCAAAACAAATTTTAGTGATGTATTAGTGCTAATCAAGCGATGATGATCAAATGATAGTGGTAGGGTAATGATAGTAGAGCAATAATAGTTTGATGATGGCAGTCTCACGAAGATGGTCATATAAGAGTTAATTGATTATGGTGATCAAATGATAGTGGTGTCATGATGACATTCATGAGATGATAACTAGTATGATGACAGTCAAATTTTGGAGGTGGTTGATAGTTGTCATCGTCTTCGAATGTCATGTAATGTTGTGTAGTTTTTTAGGTCATGATAACTTTCCAAATTAAGTCAATGTCACTTTCATATGGAGGATAGAGGTTTATAAATAGTATTTCGGAAGTGACATTTTAGATGCCAAACTTTCATAACACCCAATGAGACGATTCATATTGAATAAATTATTTAACATTTAAGTGCTTTAATTAGGTCAAAATGTAGTGATCCTAGGTTTTCCGGATTCAACTCTTAGGGCCACTTGATTTCACTTCAAGCATGTAAATTTTGGAGATTGTTTAATCTTTCAATCAATATGAAATTTCAACTTTATTTAAGTTTTTACTATGGGCATATTTATATTCACATCTTTTCACTTTGGTTGTTGTTGTATTTGCCTTATCAAATCGTTTAGCTTCAAAATAAATTTGTTGAAATCCAAATTCAAAAGATTCTAAATTTAATTCTACCAATACAAATATTTCATCAAACTTCAAGCCAATGAGACATCAGTTTTATTAATTGTTGTATTTTTTATTTCGATTTTTTCATAATAAATTTTATTTCTAAAATTACAAAGATTTGATTCTTCAATTGAATTATTCAATGGAAAGTAGATAGACTATTTAATTTTTTTATGAAAACATTTTTTTATGTATTTTTTTACTTTAAAAATAATCAACTCGTTGACATTTAAAAATTAATATATAAATTAAATTTTATAGTGAATTTTAATATTCATTTTTTTTTTGGGACATTTAAGCCATTTAAGGCAAACTCACGCACACAACACATACACATGGACTGGAACCTTGGACCTCTTAGTTGGAAGCCTAAGCTTTCAACCAATAGGCCAAGGAGAGTTGTGTAATTTTAATATTCATAGATAAATAGATAGCTGGAATTTTGTCAGGCAAAGGAAGGCATGAAATATCAATTTTATGAAGATAATCAAATGCTAGCTCGATTATCCTTCAAAAGAAAGAGGAATTTTCCGGCAAGGAAAGTTGGCATTAAATTTTAGCAGCTAATGAACATCAAATATCCATATGATAACAAAATATATGAACCATATAGGTTGCTTCCACTCTTGAATATTGCCCAATTATGACAGAAGACATCAAAGACTTATGAGAGTCACAAAATATATAAACTACTATATATATTTTTTTTGAACCCTTAGCTCTAATATCAGTCACTTCTATGGATCAACGGAAGATGACTAAAGTAAGACCTTGTATATCAGTAATTAAACTAATTTTTAACTCAAAACATCAATCTTATGAATATGATCAATAATTCATTTTTCAACTAATTAATGTGAAACTATGCCGATATTATGATCGGTCAAAATAAATATAAACTAATATGTACTTACCGCGCGGTTTTAACCGATGCAAATTGCAGCGGTTTTAACCGATGCAAAGCAAAGCGATTTTCGTATTCAAAACGTACATTTTGCAACGGTTTTTAAAACCGTTGCAAAAATCCGCTGCGATAGTCCGTCTTTTTTGGTAGTGCGCAAAATACAATACTTTAGAAAATAATTACATATGCAAAAAAAAAAAAGTGCAGCGAAAAAGAAGAATACTAGGATTTGACATACAAAAATTTAAAGTTGGGAAAAAGCTATAGAATCGCACCACACCAAAAAATCTATTATGAAAATCGAGGGAAATTGAACAGATCTCACTTCTCAAACTTTCCTTGTCTTTCTTTACTTTAGACACAATAATCTTCTCAGCACCGCAATATTTCACTCTCTATCTCTGAGTCCACATTACAACACCGTGGCATTGCATCATATGACACCAAGCCACTTGGCTCTCTTTCTCCAACAAAAGATATCAGCACTCTAATATATTGTATCAGTGTTGTACATCTATATGAAAATTTAGGAGCTTTGGCCTCGAATCCCTGAGTAGGGGGTGTGTTTCCCTTTACAGTGCCCCAACGAGCTAGCTCCTCATCGAGCTTGACCAATTAAATTGAAGCATGAGTCAACAACACAACCCAATTGATCAACATAATTAAATTCCACACATAACTAACACTCAACATCACATGTTGAAAGAAAATGATAAGTTTATAATGTACTTGTCCCAATAATTCCTTGATTTTTTTTCCCAAATTGCACTACATATGTTTCGCCTAATAGCCCCTATCATAAAGAATATTTTATTTTTGTAGAGGGGCGTCCTCCGTTGACGTCGAAGAGTTTCGCTTATGTTTCTATTCATAGATTAATAGATACATGGAATTAATTTTGCCAGGCAATGGTAGGTAGGAAATATCAAAATTAAGGAGATAATCAAATGTCAGCTCGATTATCCTTCAAAAGAAAGAGAAAATTTGCTCGCAAGAAAAGTTGGCATTAAATTTTAGCATCTAATGAACATCAAATATCCATATGATGACAAAATAGTAACATTATCATAAGTCATTGGAAGGTACCGAGTGACACATGATGGATTGGTTGAGTGATGTTAGGTTGTCAACTTCATCTCTCTCTCCTTGTAAGAGGAGGAATGAGGTCACGAATAATATAGATTTTAGATATCAATGGATGACATGCATCATATGCCAATTATTATTAGGAATCGAGTGATGATTAGCAAGGAATGTTAGAGTTTGAGCAATAACATATAAACAATTTGGTAGATCTCCTTATTGGAGAGGAGCATATGTGAACATAAAGATACACATGAGTTACATTATGAGCCACTCATTTGACATCATTTTTTTTTCTGTCATCAAATCATGTACTGAATGACATTCAACCATACAGGTTGCTTCCACTCTTGATTAATATTGCTCAATTATCGCAGAAGACATCAAAGACTCATGAGAGTCACAAAATATATGAATTATAAACAACTATATCTTACTTGAACCATTATCTCTAATGTCAGTCACTTTTTGAGTGTATAGATCAAAGGATGACTAAAGTAGGACCTTGTGTTTCATTAATTAAAATAATTTTTAATTCAAACTCACATGACCGATTCAACTAACATGGAAGATAAAATGAAAAAAAAATATATATATTTAATCAAAATATATAGCTGCAATAGCTTCTAATCACATTTTCCTTTTCTCAGAACACAAGCTTAGTGCCGGGAAGTATATCCACACAACGGGACAAAAAAAAAGTGCTGAGAAAAAGAAAAAACATCATGATTTAACATAGAAAATTTTGACATTGGAAAAAAGCCATAGAGACACCTCACCAAAATTAAAATCCATTATGAAAATTGAGGGAAATTGTACATATCTCACTTCTCAAACTCTCCTTGTCTATGTTTGATTTAGACACGCAATAATCTTATTAACAGCATGACGCTTCTCTCTCTATCCCTAAGCCCACTTGCAGCACCGTGGCGTTGCAACAGATGGTGACATGGCGCTTGGCTCTCTGTCTCCAGCCAAATATTGTAGCGCTTTAGTATATATATAACACCAAAGTGTTGGACAACTATATGAACATCAAAGAAAATTTTGGAGCTTCGCCCTCGAGCCCCTGAGTGAGGGGCATGCAATGCCCCCAGGGAGTCGTTCCTCATCGAGCTCGACCTACAAAATTGACACCTAAGTCAACAAGACAACCCAATTGATCGACACAATGAGATTCTATATAGAACTAACACTCAATGTCACATGTCGCAAGAAAAAAGATGTTTCTAATGTACTTGTTTCAATAACTCCTTTGACAATTTTTTCCCCAAACGGCACTACCTAAACAGAGTAAATTGTATGCATCCACATATCAATTAAAATCGATCTCAACTAGTTTAACTGATAATCTTCTAAAAAATTATTGTCAAGATCAGAAAATTTGTACTAAACTTAAAAATAAAACATAAAAAAGCCCAAGTAGTTTACCAAAGAAGACATTTTTCCTGAGAAATTGAAAGCTAACCAACGTTACCAACCGCACAATTCTCCGCTTTATTCAGACCACCAAATTAGCTGAGGCAAGTCCTACTGAAACTGACTAAAGTTGCCTAACTCTCTCATCAAGCACCAAACCAACATAAGAAAGTACCAATGGTTGCAAAAACATGCATGTAAATAATCAGATTATTTACAAGTTTCAAAAATGAAGTATTTGTCAGCCTTTGATTTATCTGTACTTTTCCTATGATTTATTGAAGCTTTGTTAAGTAATTTTCATAATAAACTTAGGCTTCATTTGAGATATTTTTCTTATTGTTTTCTAAAACAACTTTTTAGCATTAAAAATTCTAGTTAAAAAAAAAACACTAAAAAACTATTTAGCATTAAAAATTCTAGTTAAAAAAAAACACTAAAAAACTATTTTAGAAAGTAACAAAAAAGCTGTCCCAAACAAAACCTTAGTGAACTTGTGTTGCCAACATAAATTGTTAAATCTAAATCTAAATTTAACTTGAACCAAGCCATACTAATCAACATTAAGGCTTCGTTTGGGACCGCTTTTTTATTATTTCTTAAAACAGAGTTTTAGTTAAAAAATTAAAAATTTTGTACTAAAACTCCGTTTTAAGAAGCAATAAAAAAGTTGTCCCAAACGAAACCTAAGCCGTCTTCTCTAATTATAATATCTATCACACTTAAATAATATCATGTGATACCCACTATAAGCCAAGATGTAGAGTATAACTATATATTCAAATAGGCAAACGCTAAAAATAAGAATTATACGATGCAAAATTTCTGCATTCTAACAATAAAGTTATACAGCTTCTTTTCAATATGCACAATAAAATATCAACATGCAACATGTATAATTGTATATTATATCTAATAAATACTTTAATGTTAAAATATAATAAAAACATAAAATATTTCGTACACATTCATCTTAAAAATGAACTAGCATTTACATTACACATCAATAATCATGCAATACCCATTTAGCTTGCCATGGTATAAAAATTCTATCTAAAAGACGAATCAAGAGATCAATGAAGAATGTAGAAGATGAGAGGGCAATCAAGGAGGTGAGAGGGGAGACACCCATAATCATTGGAGAATGTATGTTAGTGTAACAAGGTCACCATAATGATCGAGAGAGGCCAAAATAGCTTGTCCTCTTAAAATTTTTATATTTACTTTTATAATATTTTAATACAAAAATCTAAAATAAAGTGCTAGGGCTTAAGATAATCCTATATTTACCCCGCTCTGTTTCTTGTACCTATTAGAGTCTTATATTGGGTTCTCATACCCACACCCACCCATGTACCCACCCATACCCAATGGTATGGGTACGTCCATGATCTTGTGGGTGTGTATGGATGGGTACTCAACATCGGTGAATAAATCGATTTACATTGCTAATCATCGTATAATCTTATATTACTGTAATCATCACTACATAGTGTACAGCACTTAAACACGCTGAATTATGATAAATTCTAATATGGGGCTTGAAAGTTTGTAATCAGAGCAAATGACAACAAGTCTTAAGGCCATCAGTCCATAACAGACTGCATTCAAAAAGTATGAAAAGTGAGTGGGTATAAGCGGGTATACCATCCCAAAAGTGATCATGGGTGGACGTGAATAGGCAAAGTCCGTCCAAGTAAAACATGGGTACCAATACCCTGGTCCTGACTTTGGTACCTACGCGTCCCGTGCCGGGCGCAACTTGACAAACGGCACCCCTCAAGCCCGACCTCTTGCATTATGTCGTTTCTATCGACAACGATCTCGGCGACTTTAAATCCGCTCTTTGCTGTTCAGCGCTCGTCCTGGATCATCAACGAGCAGCGATAAAAACGAGGTTGGGTGAAGAAAAAGTCGCATTTTTTTTCGGCTTGATTTGGTAAAAGTTCGCGTTTTATTGTGCTTGGGAAGAGGCGATCAGCATCGTTGTCTTTTCTCTGTTTCCATTGACAGGTAATTTCATGGGGCTCAAGCTGATGGATTTGAGCTATAGCGCAGTTTTGTCGATCTTTCTTGTTTGCTATTCATGTATATTTTTCTTGTTTTAACGGGCACCCGAGATCGTCTTCTTATGTTAAATGGCGCTTCCATTTCGTTCCCTGAAAATGCTGCTTTTCCTTTTCTGATTTTAGGAGAGAAACCTTTCTTTATAGTAAACTATGTGAACTTTAAAAAATTTTAGGTGGTCTATGAAAATGATGAAGTGTTCTATTTGACCCTTAACATTAGAGAATTGGTTGATAAACCCATTCATTGCAGGCTGAATTAAAACCTGCGAAGTTAAAAGTCTGAAAATGTAAGGCCGAAAAAAATCAAATAGACACTGCAAAGCAACTCCAGATGGAAGCCAATTGACTATCTAGTTTAGTGTTGTACTTTGTTCCTAGATTTAGGTTTTAGGCTTGTAAAGCCTTGTATGTGGCTTTTGTATAGCATTAGATGTCTATAAAAAGCCTATAGCTTGTATTAGGAAAGCATGGTTAAGAAATATAGTTTTCTTGTGTTAGCTGCCTCCCTCTTCCCTTCTCCTCTCTCCCTCCCCTCCTCTTTCAACTTCAAAGAAGAGGAAGTGTTCTTCCTCTCTTGCAAGAAGTTGGATTCAACATTTAGGTTCAACCAAAATAAGGTTAGTTATTGAATGCAAGTGCCTTAGATGAAAATCGATTAAAATCAGAGACGAAGTACCTCAGATTTGATAGTTATTGGAATTTCTACAAAATTTTTTTGTGCAAAAAGACTGGATGCATCTCCCAGAAGCTTTACAATTGAAAAGAAATTAGAAGAAAATCATTCATGCAGTATGTCATTCATCGAGACCATAATCCTCGCCAAAGTAGTTGTCTATAAGTTTGTTAGCCATAATTCTCATTCCCTCATTCGTACCGGGTGCCCTCTTTCTTTATAGTAAACTATGTGAACTTAAAAAATTTTCTTTTGTCTTTTGGATGATTGTCTATGCTGTTGTTATTTATGGGAATGCTTCTACTATGGTACACTTTATGGCTATTTTACCATAGATTTTGATGTTCTTAAAGAAAACTTAGGGGCTGTTTGGTAACAAGTGGGATCTCACTTTAGTAAGATTTAGTAAATCATTTAAATCCGGATTTAGTAAATCCTGAGGGGATGTTTGGTATCAGATTTACAGCCGGATTTAAGCGATATTTATGCTAAATCTTGCAAAACAGTTTTTGTGCACGCGTTAAATCCCATCGATCGGTAAATCATGGATTTAATGATTCATGGCATAATTCACTGCGGATTTAACGGGATTTACAGTTCATAGAAGTGTTACCCGCAGCGCTCGTGTTGTGAAACTCTACGTTCGACCTTATTTGACGAAATGAATGGAGGCATCGCTCCATCCCGTCGCCTCATCCTCTCCGAGTCATCTTCCTCTCCAGCGTGCTGTTATGTATTCGTCCGCACTCATAAGCTGGTTGCTCTCGAGGCACGTGTAACTTTTTTCTCCGCTTTGGATAGGTCGCGTACGCATCTTATGTCTGATTCCGCCCTTTTTCCCCTGTAATGAATCCCGTATAGTGTAAATAGAAGACCGGTTTTTGTGTGAATTTTTTCTTATTTTTGTTATGTATGCATGCGTGTGTTATCTTAATTTTTTATTTTTTAATTATAGATCGCTCGATTTACACATTTCATTATTATATAATACTACAATTATAATACTTCTCGGTTAATGTATTTAGAGAAATTTACCAGTAGAGCTACTCTGTTAAGCATATATAGTCATGCTTATGTCATCGTAAATCTTTGATTGGTAAGTTAATTATTTTCATAATAACTAATGTCATATTGTTCTGTTTAATTTATAACTATCGTTATGCTACTCAAGTTGAATTATTGTATAGTAATATAGTGTTTGTTATAATTAACACAATAAATAATTATTTAGTGGTATGATGGTTATGCTAAATAAAAGAAGAATGAAGCGAACATTTTACATCGGGTTTGACAAAGATAATTTTGAATCCGTGAGCGACAACGAATCATCTAATTCCATCTATCTCAAAAATTATGGGTTCAATCTTAATTTGACAGTTTGTGAAGTAAGAAAGATTATAACTCATGAAAATATTTTTTGACATTTAATTATAAATTTAAGGACAATAAAATTACAAACTTATAACATTTTTATTGAATGATTGATAAAAATAAATAGGTTTCGAAAAGACAAATGTTTGACTCATAGTAGCTCTAGCTCACAATCTCATGCAGAAGATGATATTTCTATCCACTCTAGCCAACCTAAAAGAACATTCTGAAACCCTAAGTGGTTGAAGGAGCACAATGTTGTGCTTGCCAAGCTCTTGTTCAAACAGTTCGTACACGGTAATATATGTAACGGTAATGAAAGAGAGAGTTATGGTCGAATCTTGTTGTTGTGTTGAACAAGTATTTGAGAACATATTACACTGAATATTCTATAATGATTAGATTCAAAAATATGAAAGCTGACTTCTTAACATTTTATTAATTAAAAAATCAGAATTGTTGGAGTTGAGATGATTAATTATAAATTCTAATTGTCACGGAGGAACTGTTGGAAAAAATTTCTCAGGTAATGATTTTCTTCTGCAAGTTTTCTAATGATTGACTTAACATTAAAAGACTCATTTCCTATTAATGAAAATGTAGGTGACTTCAATCCTTTTATGATTTCGCCGGCATCCTTTTCATCAATATGATATTTTTGAAAAAAATATGTGTGAAGAACTTTGCAGTTGGCATTGGTGCTAGATCCAATAACAGAATACATACATCAATAAATTTAGAGGAAGACGGAGCACTTCAGTTTGAAGATGAGTTTATCATTGCTAACAGTGTAACTTATGACTTTGAAGGAACTTTAAAAAAATAACTCCCTAATGTAACGGATGTCATGACACCATCTTCCGAACCTAGTGCGAGTCAAACGCTAGGTTTGAATAGAACAATTAATAAATCATCAAGAACTGCAAGACAACCAAGAAAAAGAGGGGATTAGAAAACCTTAATAAGTTATTGGTGGAGTCGATTAAAAATATTTTTATTTTTAAAGAAGCGGACGAAAGGAGTGACTCAGATTGTTTGCACAAACTAGGTACAATGGAGAACTTAATAACACAAGTATTATTGGTTGTACAAGATGCATTAAAGGAGAACAAAGATAACAAAACAATACTAAGGATATTGGAGGGTAACGTTCTACACAAGTGGATTGAATATATAATTAAAAATCATCCACGCTTTATGCATAAAAATTTAGTTGTAGCTGTTTCCCAATCAGAAGAGCTATTATAAGAAAGTTTGGTTATTTTAGATTATCTGCATGTTTGTGTTATTTGGTCAGTTCAAATAAGTGTCGTATGTAAATTGGGATCCTCATCAGACATATTAACTTCATCACTAGCATAATGAGCCACAAGAATATTGATGTGAAACCAATAAGAATTGCAAGGAAATAATAAAATTATCGTAAAGCTTGCTACTTTAAGATTAATGAGCCACAAGAATTGATTTAAGAATTATCAATTGTCATTTTGCTTTGGCCGAGAACAGAACAACTTAAAATAATATAAAAAAATAATAAAACTAAATGTGTTGTAACACAGGTTAATATTTAGAGCTTTTCACCTAGAGTTTCCTTCCTCACTCACACTCTATGAGAGGCTTTAGGGAGAGAGATTTTCAACAGCACAAATGCTGCCACAAATAAAGTTAGGATGTCGACGGTCTTGTTCCACGAGAAGGTAGCCGAAGGAGGAGGCGCATGTGGACGTCCGACAAGTTGCCACTGTTCGGAAGGTTGTTGTTCGTTGATCGTCTTAGCTAAATGAAATAGTACGGTCGACGTAGCCTTCTACGGAATCTTCAAACTCCCAATCAAGATCGAAGAATGGCTACTTAAGGATATCAATTTGTCCTTGAGAATCGTACGTGAATCCGTGGTCGGCTTCAGGATCGACCATCCATGATTATGGGAGGCTTCTCCATTGGGAACCTTGGAGGAGCCGACGGTTTGTGAAGGGCGAAGGAGGGACAGAGCCGGCGGTGGGAGTTCTCGAGTAGAGAGGAAAAGGGAGGGGGCGGCTAGGGTTTAGGGCTAGGGAGGTGGGGAAAAGGATTTAGAAAATTTGAATTTTATCAGAATTTTCTACGAGAGAAAAAGGGAATAATTTCAACTCCAAACTATCCCTAATATATTTCTAGGGGCCGACGGTTTAGGAGGAGTTTATGGGGCATTTAATTGAAATTAGGGAATATATTGGGGAGAGAAAAGGCATGGGGAAGGGGGGTCGGCCACATAAGAAGGGAGGGAGAGGTCTAGATTCAATGTATGTGGGCCCTAGACTTAAATTAGGAATTGAAATCAAATATCTAATTTAATTTCATATTTGATTTAATTAAAGAGGTTTCCTAAATTAGTTTATCGATAAGGAAAGTGTTTTAAATTCAAATATTAATTTGAATTTAAGTAGGAAACTTTCCTAATCAATGAGGGGTTATTTTAGGAAAGTGAATAAGGGGAATTTAAATTTTGAATTTCAAAATTCATGGGGGATTGGGAGGGGCCAGTGGCAAGGGGCCAAGTGGTGGCGGCTATGAGCTTTGGAGGGTGGCCGGCGGCTGTAGGAGCCAAGGGAGGCCGGCGGCTATGGGGTGGGAATGGCTCGATTAGGAAAGAGAAGGAGGAGAAGATGGGGGAGAGAAGGCCGGCGAGTGTTGGGAGACGGGGAGGTGGCTGGAGGTGTGGGGGGAAAGGGAGATAGATGTCTCTGACTCTTCCAAAGATTGACGGGTATTGCAATCACCCTCACTTAGGGCACTCTTTTTTCTCTCGAAACTTACCACAATGAGGAAGAGAAAAACTCAAAATTTTATTCATCAAAATCATCATCCCTAATACAATAGAAGGGGCCCTATATATAGGCCTCCACATGACAAAAGAAAAAGGAATAAAATTCTCATAGGGCTACAATAACAAACTAACTACCCCTAGGGGTAAAACAAGAAAAATGAAATATAAAAATAAATAATACATAAAATGCATAAAAAATAAAGGCTCCTGATCGTGGCCGTCGATCTCCGATGCCTCTGATAAACTCGCCAAAATATCTTTCTGATGTCCTCATCATTCTCCTCGGGTGGGAGAAAACTCGACCTTGTCGAGTGAATATCACGAGAACTCTCGTATAGCTCTAACAGATTTGGATCCAACCTCTGCAGCTCATCCCGCTCGATCCACATATCCTCAGTCATCGGTTTTCCTTCCCAATGAACTAGGTACCTTTGGCTCCCACCTTCTTTAGTGGAAATGATTTCATCGTCAAATTTGGACAATGTTTTGAATTTATGATATAGAGGATAAACTTAGGTATATCAAGTAAAATCATCAACAAACAAGAGATAATATTTATATGATTGCATTGACAAAATTGGGGATGGTCCCCATACATCAATGTGAATGAGTTCTAGACATTGAGTAGTTATAGTAGTAGATAAGGAAAAGGGAAGATGAGTACATTTAGCACAAGAACAAATAGAACAATGAAATAATGATGAAGGTAATTTGCTGATTTGCAATGCATTGGAGAGGAGTTGTTGAGTAGCCGTAGATGGGTGATCTAAACGTTGATGCTAAAGAGTGGATGAAACAGATGCGATAGTAAGAGCTGCAGTGGTGGCTGTTGTAGATAGTTGAGAGGAATGTATGGAAGAACTAATAGGATATACTGATATAGTCCTTGTTGACTAGGCCCTCGGAGAAGAATCCAGTTGGTCCGAGAATCCTTGATGATATAGTCATTAGAATCAAAACAAACAAAACAAGGATTATTAGTCGTTAGTTTATGAATGAAAAGAAGATTATGAGACATATAAGGAACATGAAGAATTTGTGATAAGTGTAGATTACGAGATGGGGTGGGTAAAAGGCCTTGACCGGTATGAGCAATGGGAAGAAGCTGCCCATTTCCAACTTGAACGGGAGAATTACCATAGTAAGATTGAGCTTGCTGAAGCTACGAGGCATCTGCTGTAAGGTGATTAGTTGCTCCGGAATCCATAAACCATTCAGCATTAGGTGGATTCTCTGTTGCAACTTAAGCATGTGGTGATGATTGATAAGAGGTATTACTTCAATCTGCTACGATTCCCATTGGCCAGGTCTTGCTTTGTTCTAAAAGAACGTTTCATACAACTTGACCCAAGCATTATTTGTTTGAAAAGCCACGCACTATGCAGATAGCTGTAATAATTATAGTAAAATTCAATGGTATAAGTCTTTGACTGTATAAAAGAATAAACAGAACTTTTGAATGTATTAAAGAATAAACAGAATAAACAAAACTGCATTAAATAATTGCAACTGAAATGTATCCCTGAACAAGAAATGGGTTGCATTTATTATTTAAACAAAATTTGAATAAACAAGACGAGAAATCAAAATTTTTTTCTAAAACAGCACTTCTCATTTCAATGACCACATAACATTTATTTGAACTTACTACATAACAGAAACACGATGATACTCCTAAAACAGCCAAACTTCCCTACAACAGCTCTTCTGATTGAGAAAAAACTACAACCAAAATTTTTATGCATAAAAGCGGTAGATGATTTTCAACTATATATTTAATCCACCTGTGTAGAACGTCACCCTCTCATGTCATTAATATTGCTTTGTTATCTTTATTCTCTTTCAATACATTTTGTACGGCCAATAGTGCATGTGTTGTTAAGTTCTCCATTGTACCTAGTTTGTATAAACAATCGGTCATTGTGTACGGGTCATTCCTTTCGACCGTTTTTTTAAAAACAACAATATTTTTATTCGACTCAATCGATAATTTATTAAGATTTTCGAATCCCTCTTTTTCCATGGTCGCTTTATAGTTCTTGAGGGTTCATCGATTGATCTCTTTGAACCTAGCGTTTGACTAGCAATAGGTTTGGAAGTTAGCGTCATGCCATCTGTTGCATTAGGGAGGTTGTTTGCTAGAGTTCTTTCGAAGTTATAAATTACACTGTTAGTAGTGAGAAATTCATCTTCAAATTGAGGTGCCTCGTCTTCCTCTAAATTTCCTGATGTAGGTGTTGCCTTATTGGATCTAGCACCAGTGCTAACTGCAATGTTTTCAGCACATATTTTTTTCAAAAATATCGTATTGATGAAAATTTCATCACATGTATTTCCATTAATAGAAATGAGTCTTCTTGATGTGAAATCAATCATAAGAAAATTTGTATAAGAAAACTATTACTTGATCAATTTTTTCCCACAGTTCCTCAGTGGTAATTAGAATGTGTAATTCTTCATCCCAGCTCCAACCATTCTGACTTATTAATTGATAAAGCGTTCGGAAGCTAGCTTTCATATTTTTGAATCTAATCATTATAAAAGATTCAGTGTAATATGTTCCTAAACGCATGTTTAACACAACAATAAGAGTTGACCACTGCTCCATTCCTTAAGTTAATGTTACATATATTACCGTATACGAACTGCTCAAATAAGAGCTCGGCAAGCACAACGTTGTGCTCCTCCGACCACTTAGAATTTCGGGATGTGCTTTTAGGTGAGAGCAGATAGAGATATCATCCATTGCACGAGGTTGGGAGCTAGAGCTGTCATGAGTCAAACCTTTAGCTTTTAGGAACCCTTCATTTCTATTAAACATTTATGAAAAAATGTTATAAGTTTGTAATTTGATTGTTATTAAAATTGTTATTAAAATTCAGAAAATATTTTCCTAAGTTATACCCTTTCTTGTTTCACAAACTGTTCAATCAAGATTGAACCCGCAATTTTTTAGATAGATGACATTAGTTAATTCGTTGTCTCTCATGGATTCAAAATTATCTTTGCTAAATCCGATGTAAAACGTTCGCTTCATTCTGCTTTTATTTAGTCTAATCATCATACGACCAAACAATTATTTATTGCGTTAACCATAACAAATATTATATTGCTATTTACTTGAGTAGCATTGTGATATTTACAAATTAAATTGAATAATATGACACGAGTTATTATAAAAATAATTATACTAATCTAAGGCCTACGATGACATAAGCATGATTATTTGCTTAACTGAGCAACTCTACTCACTAATTTCTCAAGACACATTAACTTAGAAGTATTATAACAGTAGCATTATTTAAGAATTAAATGTGTAAATCAGGCGATCTATAATTAAAAAATCAAAAATTAAGATAATGCACGCATGAGTACAGAACGAAAAGGAGAAAAAATTCACAAAAAATCGATCTTCTATCTACATCATACGATGTTCATTACAGGAAAAAAAATGACGGAAACATACATACGATACATACACGGCCTATCCAAAGTGGAGAAAAAAATTACCTGTGTTGAGAGCAACCAGCTCAAGAGTGTTGACGAAGACGTAGCAATACGCTGGAGAGGAAGACGACTCAGAGTGGATGAGGCGGGGGCTTAAGCGAGGCCTCCATTCGTTTCGGCAAATAAGGACGAACAAAGAGCTTCACAACATGGGCGCCGTGGGTAACACTTCCACGAACTATAAATCCTATTAAATTCTCCAAACTGAGGGATTTAGTAAATCCTTAAATCCGGGATTTACCAATCGCTGGGATTTAATGCTCGCACAAAATTGTTTGGCAGGATTTAGCGTAAATCCGTATGTAAATCCAATACCAAACAGCCCCTTTGGTGTTTAGATTGGTTTTTTCTTTTTTGTTAACGAAATGCTTGTTATTTGTCTATCATTCCATTACCAAAGATTTGTTTGAATCCTTTCTAAATAAATCTTGAACAGCTTATTGTATCGTATGATTTCACAATCTTGTAATATATATGTCTGGTTTATCTTTTTGTTCATCTCTCAAGTGTTCTACTTCTTGTAGTGCATTGATATAGAGATGTGCTATTCACTTTGTTTGAGCTTTCTTATAGAATTTTGCTTCGTTTTTGCTGTATGCATATTTTATCGGGAAAATTATACTTACTTGTTAGGATTGATCACATTCAGATTTTGAGTAACTAGATTCATTTAGTAATCACATCAAACAGAATAATAATCAGCCCCTTATTTTGGACTAATTAAGTGATTTGATAAAATAATAATTTATGACCAATTATATTATAATTTCTTCTATTTTATCCATTCTGCAACTAATGTGAACCGTTATATTGCACTTTTTGTATCGAAAGCTTTAGCTGGTATCAACATGTCTATCCCTTTGGGTTTTGATGCAGATATCAACTTTTTAATAGTCAGGCAAATCAGCCAGGAAATGTCTACATCAACAGCTGCTTGTCTGCAAATGTTAGCGAGAAGGCCATCCACCTCTTCTTCAGGGATGATGACTTCATCAAGTGCAACGGTTGATATAAAAGTAACCACCCAAGTTAAACCGTCAAGCTCATCTTGTATCTCCTTCATCAAACCAGTTCGCCAGAGCTTTACATCTGCTCAGCTAAAAGCCAGTAATGTCGTTATAAGAGCAATGTCTGAGAAGAATGAAATTAATGGTGTTTCTGGATTGAATATCGATTTAAGAGGTAAAGAGATTCCTGGTTTTTGCTTCCTAGATCCTAAGGGATGAGAAAATTTACACTTAATGTAGCATTGTTTCTTTTTACAAATTAATTTGATAGCAGTTGCAGCCCCCACAATTTTTTTTATTCATGTTGAGTTCTAATTCTGCTGCAAGTGTCTGGTTTGCTTTAAGCCTGCAAAAATTTTGATTAATGTTGTGCCGTTCAAGCACTTCCAATTAAACAAAGTAAATTGCATAATTGGTCATGCAAATATTATCAATTATCTAGGCTTTTTCGTTATCACAGCTGTAGAAGCCAATTAGGAACTTGCCCTCAGCATTTGATTAATTATTTACTGCATTTTGAGTTTCCATTCTTTGCTTTTAGAATATTACAACTAATGATGCTTCATTCTTTAACATTAGTAACACTTCTTCCAATTCTATATATATATATATATATATATAACTCTGTGTGTATTCTATACATGAAGCAGACATAGATATTGGAAACATGAAATTTTTGTTTGGATGCTTGGAGGATGAGGAGAGTGTTAGGAGTTGGTATATGAGTGGAAAAAATGGAACAATTTATATTTGGAATTATGATTATAATAATCCCATGGAAGGTTGGGCCACAGTGACAAAGTTTGTTGACATCGAACACCCACCCTTATTCAAAACTTTTGAGTTCTCTCATGGAGCATAAGTAGCCATATCCAACAAAAATGACGAATAGAAATTCCCTAATCTACATATATTCCAAAAATGCTTGACATCCAAACAAAAGATGTTAGCTTCATGTTAAGCCACAAAGCAAGAATTGGACAATGCAAAAACATGCAAAAGAACAAAGATATATATATGCAACACACGTGAAAGATGATAATATCACAGGATCACCTATTGAGATCCAAAAAGAGGAAATAGTAAAATTTAAAATTTTGTTAGTATAACTAGAAAAGACTCCTACAATAGGAACTTTATTTTCTTATGATTTTAAAGTTTTATTGATGCCCAATTTTAGCTCCCTGATTATTAATTCATGAGGCAGACCATGTGACAAACTCCTTGCATGGATCTATTTCTTATGCTCCTTGTCCTAGTAACAAGGATATAACTTGTGATGGTCTAAAATCTAATTTAGAGGAATTATTCTTTTTATCTTTTAAAATTAACATAAGAGTATGTATTTCTCTTTTATCAATAATAAAATTGTTGCGTCCTGGAGTATTCGCGGTAGTAGAGAAATATAAAATTAACGTCTTAACTTTATACGAAAATCCGACATGCAATCAGATAAGAGAGAGGGTTCAAGATTTAAAGAAGACATCAAGATTTTTACATGGAAAACCCCTGAAAATGGGGAAAAACCATAAGGTCTAGCCTAGTTTGAATAAATTCACTATTATTTGCAGTCGATTACAAATGGGGCTCTTCTTTAGGGAAGACCTTAGCTTGATGTACATCTTATATAGTACATTATGGGAATACAAAGAGTCGCTGTGACATGTTTGTTTGGTTGGAAGGACCATAGTCGATGAGCGACGCAAATCACGCAAATCGGAAGGACCGTAGTCGGTGGGCGACGAAAGTCTGGCAGAATCCCGGCGGTGGTTGAGGAGTTTTTCCCCTCCTATTCTTTTCTTCTTCTTCTCTTCTCTTCTTGCTATGGTCCCCCTTTCTCAATTTGATTGAATCGCCAAATATTGCGCTCTATAAAACATAAACTTGCTCAAACTCAATCATATAGGCCCCGTTGAGCTCTGAAAATATCAAAATTGAGTCTGGAACATTGAAAAATGTGTTTGGGGAGCTTCAAAAATATCAAAATTGAGTCTCGAACATTGAAAAATGTGTTCGGGGATCCAAAAAACGTCCGATTTGAATCGTTCAGGCCGAAAATATGGCCCGAACATGCGTGAACTGATGAACCGGCCGGTTGCCGCCCACAGGCTGCCGCTGGCGGCGGTACACGCGCCACACGAGAACTAGCGCGACCTGCGCGGTTATGTTAATTTTTTTATGGGGTCCACGTGATCAAAAAATTACGAAAAAATTCCAAAAATTCCAAATAAATTAAAAAAAATCGGGAAAATTCCAAAAAAAAATGGAATGTTCTTTTCTTCTCAAAAAAGTCTATAAATACCAAGGGCCTGGGGGAACTTGTACCTTCTTATTTTCTCCCTCTAATTTTCTGACAACCGAGGCATTCCATTGTTATTTAATAGGTGATTTTCCCTACTTAATTCAGCGCCCCTCTTCTTGTATATAAATTATAATTTTTTCATTCTTTCTCCTTCGTTTTCTCCCATTTTTCTTCCTGCTCTAGAGGCCTTTCGCTGTTTTTCGAAGGTGACTTTTCCTACTTAAATTCAGTGCTCCTCTTCAATGTAGAAGGAAATTGTTTCTCCTTCCACTGTCTTCTCTTCTAACTATCTTCTTACAGTCGAGGCATTCCGCTGTTTTATATAGGTGACTTTTCCTATTTAAATCGGCGCCCCTCCTTTTGTGTAGAAGTTTGACTTTTTGCAGCCTTTTTTTTCTTTCTCCTTCCGCATTCTAACTTTCTTATAATTGAGGCATTCCCCTATTTTTTGTAGGCGGCATCCCCAACTAAAATTCAGAGCCCCTCTCCATGTGTAGAAGTTATAATTTTTGGATTCATTTCTTTTCTTTCTCCTCCCGAATTCTAACTTTCTTATAGTTGAGACATTCTTCTGTTTTTTGTAGGCGACATCTCCTACTAAAATTCAGGACCCCTCTCCGTGTGTAGAAGTTAGAATTTTTGCCTCCTTGTTCTTCACTTGCGTTCTTATTCTTGCATTGGAGGCATTCCACTGTCAAAGATAGGCGGCATTCCCCTATCAAGCTTCAGTGCCTCTCTCTTGTGTAAAAGTAGATGTTTTCCTTCTTGTTCTTCTCTTGCGTTCTTCTTGTTACGATTTGGCCAGTTCGAAGAAAGTGATGAACTTACCAAGAATACCCAGTTCAGATGTCGAGATGGAGGAATATGTTGAAGAGATGTCTAATTTAAACAAAGGAGATCTAATAAGATATGAAAGTTAGTAACAGTAAAAGGTGGTTGTGCCACCTAGGATTGTTAAAACTCTCTCTCTCTCTCTCTGATAATTACGTTTTTACCTTTGCTTTTCTGTGAAATAACTTTAATATTATGTTTCTTTCTCTAGAATCATGACTACTGTGAATAAGATTGAAATCTTTCAGGTTGATATCGCCAAGTAACTTAAAAATTGAAGTGATCTGTGGCCTCTTCTTTATAAATATTATCATATGATACAACATCCCCTACTCCAGTAAGAGGCGATCATTTAAATAATGCAATCAACAAAATTGTTTACGCTGACCTGATTTAGGCTTATAAATAGTTGATGACATCCCAAAAGAGAAGAGGATACAAAACTTCGCTAATTAAGCTAATAATGTGTTAGTTCTAGAGAAAGAAAAAACATTGGATGGAGGAGGTTTGGAAGTTGAGAAAGAATGATCTACAAAGATTCTACTGAGAACTGAAGTCTTACTGATGAGGACATCGTCAGCATTTTCGACGCCGGAGATCGACGGCCACGAGCATGAATTGTATTTTGTCATTTTATTATTAAATTGTGGATTCTTGTGGCCATCGTAGTTTTACAATTATTCTTTGTGTTTCTTGAATTGTTTGGTTGATTGATCTTGCTCTACTTTGCCCAAGCAAGTTAAAAATTAAGAGTTCTAAGGATCACTCTTTTATGACAATGATAATTTTATTTTGGGTTATTATGTTACAATTGCTCTCTTTAATTTCTTAAAGTAACTCCTCCATCACATGTACGTTTTACATCACTTACTTTGATTGATTAGCATGAATGGAAACGCTTCCTTTGCAATCTGATGATATAACTCCAATCCTAAGTTCTGGATCGTGATTATGATGGTCAATATTCCAAGTCATTCATTACTGGAATTCCAATCCCATTTACTCTTTTTGAGGCATTTTGCAATGTTTTATTTAGCTCTGGGCCTTTGACCTGATATCTTTCTTGATTTTTCTTTCTTCATTCTGTTGAAGCACATTGTTAGATGACCACTACATCTTTTACTGTTTTACCATTTTTTTTCTCATACCTTATTTGTTCACAGGTAAAAGGGCATTTATCGCTGGAGTGGCTGATGACAATGGATATGGCTGGGCAATTGCCAAGGCTCTCGCTGCAGCAGGAGCAGATATTCTTGTTGGTACATGGGTCCCTGTATGTGTTCTCTGCTTCATTAGCATCTCTGCTATTTGATATACATGTCCCCTTAACTATGTCATTAAGGGTTTTTTCCTTTTGCAGGCACTGAACATATTTGAAACGAGCTTAAGGCGCGGAAAGTTTGATGGTTCGAGGCGGTGTGTAATTTCACAATATTGAAGAAGCTTTAAATCTTCTGCTTTATGATGCTTACTGTATTCATGCTGCAGGCTTCCAAATGGTTCTCTTATGGAGATTGTCAAGGTTTATCCCCTTGATGCTGTGTTTGACAGTCCTGAGGATGTTCCTGAAGATGTAAGATGATATTATTGATCTTCTCGATTGTCCTGTCTTGTCGTTAGATATGTTTGTATTAATATGTTTGCTGCTTTTGTAAAGATTAGGACAAACAAACGTTATGCAGGTTCATCGAACTGGACTGTGAAGGTCAGCACCTTATGACACAAATTTCTGCACCTCAAAGTAACAATTATTGCACTTTATTTTGCAAGATTCTTGGATTTCTATCCTGAATCTTATAATGTGCAATAAAGAAATTACTGCTGCTTTTTTTTTTCTTTTTTACTTTTCAAATTTTTAACAACTTTTTTTTTCTTTTTTTAATTAGGAAGTAGCTGAATCGGTCAAGAATGATTTTGGAAGTATAGACATTCTTGTTCATTCCCTTGCTAACGGGCCAGAGGTGTGTTGTTTTATGTCACTGTATTGCACTGTTATCTCTCTCTTTTGCTTTCCATTATTTTATTAGAATCTCAATTACAGGTCACCAAGCCTCTATTGGAAACTTCCAGAAAAGGGTACCTTGCAGCTTTATCTGCTTCTAGCTATTCCTATATTTCCTTGCTCCAGCATTTCCTTCCTATTATAAATCCAGGTACTTCCGAGATAAGCTACTTCCGGGATAAGTTCACTTAAGTTTGCTCAATGGCTTTGGTTAATATGCTTTAAATGGGATTGAATGGCCTTGATGGTTACCGAATACTGATTAGCCATCTGTAATCATTCTATCTGATTTGCTAATTACTGCAAACTTTTGGATATCAAGTTTTTTTTTTTTTTTTGTTGCAGGTGGTGCTACAATCTCTCTCACATACATTGCTTCTGAGAGGACTTTTCCTGGGTAAAAACCTTACTTCATTTTGACCGTTTCTGATAGGTAGCACTTGCAGATCTCTAGTATTTCCTGTCAATATTTGGAAAACAGCGAGAATTCTCCACAAAAATCCGCACAAGACCATGAAAACAGTGGATAATTTGTATTATTTGATGAAAGGGAAACTGAAAATAGCAAGATACAATTGATCGTCTATTCGAGAGGAGGATTGATCTCTCCCAAATCTCTAGACGCCGCTAGAGCCCAAAAGAAAACCTTAAATCTAAGAGATCTCAAATTTCAGCCAAATTCAATATGCCCTAACCCGAGGAAAACAAACTATTTAATGCATACAAATGAAAAGGAAATCCCTAAATAGTCCCTACATTCAAATTTCCCTCTTAATTTCCCAAAAAATCCTTCATATTCGGCTCCCTTGGAGCTTGCGGATCGTGCGGCTCTTCCTAGAGGCGGAAGAGTTCCTCTCAAATTGTGTAAGTTGGTCCCGTCAGACCGGCTCGACCGGTCTAACAGTTTCCATGCTACTTGAAGTTAGGGATGTCAATTTTGACACGACCCGAAACACGACCGAACCCGACCCGAAAAAATCTGGGTTCGGGTCAACCCGAATCGGGTCGGGTTGAACAAATCAACCCGTTTTAAAATTCGGGTCGGGTTCGGGTTGACCCAGCAACCCGAAAGTGACACGAAAACTCATATTTGACCCGAAAACCTGAGATCGACCCGTTTTTTACCCGTTTTGACCCGATTTTGACCCGAAAATCGAATATTGACCCGGTTTTGACCCGAAAATTAGCAATTTTAGATCAAATTCGGGTCATTCGTGTCGGGTCGGGTTGACTCAGACTCGAATCGGGTCGGGTTCGGGTCAGGAAACCTGACACCTGACCAGTTTTTAAAAACGGGTCGGGTTCGGGTTGACCCAAACAGTGCCGGGTCATTTTCGGGTTCGACCCGAACCCGACCCGTTGACCCGAATTGACACCTCTACTTGAAGTGATAAATGCAATAATTCATGAGCATCTATATTTATTTCCTTGCAGATATGGTGGTGGTATGAGTTCAGCCAAAGCCGCACTGGAGAGTGATACTAAGGTATTTATCATATCCGTCACTCACTCCATTTACTTTTGATAGTTCTCAACATATCATCATGATCTAGATTCGCTACTAATTTGCTAAGTTGACTTATTAATGAAGGTATTAGCTTTTGAAGCAGGAAGGAAGAAGCAGATTAGAGTCAATGCAATTTCTGCAGGTATGTTTCTACTCCGAAGAAAAGTTTTTCACAAATGACTATTTCTGAAGCTCTTCACTCTTTCCAAATTCACAGGCCCACTGGGAAGCCGTGCTGCCAAAGCCATAGGCTTCATTGAAAAGATGATAGAATACTCTTACAATAATGCACCATTGCAGAAAGAATTTTTAGCAGGTAAATGTTAAGTTAACCTAAAAAATGCAAGTGAGCTACTTTTATCTTCTTGTTTCGCTTCCTATGATGCAATATTTCTCATCTTGTTATCAAAAAATGGTTCGCAGATGAAGTTGGTAATACAGCGGCTTTCTTGGTCTCTCCATTAGCTTCTGCTGTCACAGGTTCTGTAGTTTATGTTGATAATGGATTAAACACCATGGGTCTGGCAATTGATAGCCCATCTCTCTCAGTATAAGAGATAGGAGGATAATCAAGTCATTATTGGACCAAGAGCAAGCATCCACTTCTTATTTTTTTATCTCCTTCGACATTGCACTCTGATATTGCTATTTACTTGGATGATTACTTAACAATTATTGTATATTTCGACAATTTACTAAAAGCAAATGTATTGATGAATTTTGATGATATTCTTGGCAATTGGTATACTAAATTTCTTTCTTTGATGCCTCGAGTGGCCAATTCTTAGCGACTTGCAGGTGATTTTTGCAAGTTTTATCTGATCGTCTAGAAGAGTAAATGCATCCCTTAACTTATGCCTCGTGCAGCCAATTCTTAGCAACTTGCAGGTGATTTTTGCAAGTTTTATCTGATCGGCAAGAAGAGTATTTGTGCCTGAATCAAGAAAAGGGAGCTAGTTAATCCTATGAATATTGATAACAGTTGCACATATTTATTCGGAGATATTGTGAGTAAATGCATCCCTTAACTTATGACTTTATGGTGTAAAAACATTCCTTATATTGACTAATATGTTGAAAGATGGATTTTTATTGATGTTTAAACAGAGCTAGTTCATATAAGAATTGACTCATTTTCACATAGATTATCTTGATCTTGTGGTTGGGAGTTTTGATTATCAACTAAGAGGTCTTGAGTTTAAATCTTGCATATGTGTTGTGTGTGTTTCAGAGCCCTGCATTGGGTACCCTGTACCCATATCAACACCCACCCATATACTCATTCATACCCGATGGGTATGAGTACGCTCATTGTTTTATGGGTGGGTATTCAACATCGGGGGATAAATCGATTTAAATTGCTAATTACCATACATCTTATATTACTGCAATCCTCATTACGTAGTGTACAACACTTAACCACGTTACGACTACGGTAAATTCTAATATGCAGCTTGAAAGTTTGCAATCAGAGTAAATGACAACAAGCCTCAAGGCCATCAGTACATGGTAGATTGCATTCAAAAGGTATGAAAAGTTGGTGGGTATAGGTGGGTATGACATCTCGAAAGTCACCATGGGTGGGCGTGGGTAGGCAAAACCTGTTCGAGTAAAGCATGGGTACCCAACCAGGACCCTATGTAGGGCTTTGGTGTGTTTGCCTTAAGTTTTGTTCAGGATGATTTTTTTTACTGTTTTCTAAAGGAATTTGTTTGTACAAAAAATTGTTAAATTAAAAAATTTTGTACTAGAAAGATGCTTCATATTTTCATGTTTTGCTTTTTGATTGTGTTCAACTATTAATTAAATTGCTTCAATTTGTTTAGCAAATGTAATTGGCTTTGTTATCTATAATATGTACTCTAATTTATTTTTTAAACTTAAAAAATGATATATGATTATATGGATTCTAAACTTTTTAATTTAATAAATAATTTTAACAGCTTCTTATATATATTCGTAAATTTTTTGCTGTTTTTTAAGAAGACTTTCTAGTATAAAAATTACTTGACTAAATGACAGTTTTATTAAATAGCAAAAAAGTTATCTCACACGAAGCCTTATATATTGAAGTGTTATATGCGTAATTATAAGAATTTAGGTGTGGCATTTAAATAATAAGAATTTTATGATATTTAAGTAAAATATCTAAAACTATAAAATTATATTTATAAATGCATTATAAAAAGATCATATGTGTGAAGTTATTGATAATCTTGAGTAGATTGAAAGTTGTTCGCGGAGAATAATTTAAATCTTATATGAGAAATGAATCAAATCAAAATGCAAGAAGAAAAGAGAAGTCATGTTTTAGGAACAATTATTACGTCCTCCGACCGGATGCAGAGAAACATCCGGTCTTGAAAAACTCGGTACACCTCGGTACCGCGCGATTTTTGTCTGCGACCGAATGTTTCTCTCATGTCTTAGAGAATCTTTCAAAGAATTGATTCACAAAGAATCCAACTCAATCCTTCGAGCAAAAAAGAGAATTGCATTGGGCGTAGGGAATATAATTCAACAATAAAATGATTTCCTGAAAAAAAATCCGTATAAAATTTATGAGATACAATAAATCCCTAATTTAAGCTCCTATTCAACAGATTAAAAAGGACAGCATAAAAAAAAGTTAATTACTCGTATCTAGGGATGCAAATTGAGTTAAGTCGAGCTTGAGTTAGGAGTATTCGAGTTGAGCTTGACTGTCAAATATTGAGGTCAAGCTCGAGCTCGAACTCGAGTCAAGTTCAAAAGAACTCGAGCTCGACTCGCCAGGGAAAAAAAGAGCTCGTCGAGCTGCTCGAGTGGTAGTTCGAGCTCAATTCGTTCATCGTGCTAGTGTCAGTCACCAGTGCCAGTGTCCGTCGCTAGTTTTTGTGTTGTCGCCAGCGTTCGCGCCGTCTTCGCCAGCTTCTGTCTGTTGCAAGTGTCCGTCATTTTCCCTCCGGCAACACGTTCCGCGAGTTGCTCAACAAACTCACGAGTCAAGCGAAGGGCTATTCAAGCCTGAGCTCGGTAAACTGTCGAGCTCCAAATCATATTCGAACTCAATTTATCGAGCCTGCCGGTCGAGCTTGAGCCAACTTGACTCCCTTGCACGGCTTTCCAGCGATTATAACGGCGCATAATTAATTTCCAGAAATGGCAAGGGTTTCCGAGAATAGAATCCGATTTATCAGCGCGAGACAACTGGCTGTGATCGAAATCCCGCTACCATTGCTCCTTTCGGTTCAAATAAAATCTTGAAAACAACAAAATGTGAAATCATCGCTCGAAAAATCGCCAAAATTCCAAATCTCTTCTTCGCCTTCTCTCTGCACCCCCAATTTAACAAAAAAACCCTAGCTACAACCCTAACTCCATGAAGGCGTCGCTCAAGTTTCGGGAGGACCAGCGGCCCCTTGCCCGGGCGAAAATCCCCATCAGCATCCTCGGACTCCCCTTTCTCGCTGGCGCCGCCGCCGGTGATCCCCACGATCTCCGCCTCGACCTCACCACGGCCTTCGATTCGGGGCCAGCGTTCCGTGTGTCCTACCTCCCTAACGAGCCTTTCAATCCCTTCACCCTAGCTGTCAAGACTGGCATCGGCTCATTTGGCTCACCCGTTTCTGCTCCCTTTTCCATGATCACGGAGTTCAACCTCTTCTCTTCCCACGGAGTCTCCGGAAGCCCTGCCTTTTCGGTCCTCTTCAAGCCCCGCCTCGGTGATTTCTGCTTCAGAAAATCAGCTTCGTCGTCTTCGTCATCAAGGGAGATAATCCCCGTATCGGACGGTGAGGAAATGTTTCCTCCTTCACCTTCAGCGGCTAAAGGGGTCAACGGAATCCACTCCAACGGGAAAGTGAACGACATCGTGGTGGACTTGCCTGCCGCACGGGGAGGAATAGGTGGGCTGCTCTCCGGCATAGAGGTAACAGCAATGAGTGTTCTTCCGATTCGCAGCCGAGCTATGGTGGGATTCCGGTGGGGTTTTAGGATGCCTAAGGAGCTTCAGTCATCATTCTCCACGGATACTTTCTCCATGACCAATCTCCCCATGCTTGTGATGAACAAGATCTCCATCAAGCATATACCAGCACGTGCTAACTCGAAGCTGCTTCAGGACAGTGGAACCAGTGTCTCAGCCAGTGAAGTAACCCAGGCTTGCAAGTCTGTTAGGCAGGATATTGCAGCTCTGCTGGCTGAAAGCTCAGATCTCAGGAAGGCCGTGGAGGATCTTCGTGAAAAGATTGATGGCAGCGGCTTCCTTTCCGGGAAGATGTTTCCTACAATTGGAAACAAGGATAGCTGTGGTGCTGAAGCTGGGAAGAGCGGGCTGAGGGTGGCAGCTCCACCCTCGGAGCCATCAAAGAGGGAGCGACGGGGTGACGTGAAATCAGCATCTGAGGATGTGAATGAGGAGCTGAAGAAGGCGCTGATGAGTGCCAGCAATGCTGGAAAATAGAGGCCTGATGCGGTGGTGAACTAATCTGAGGATTTGAATGAGGAGCTGAAGAAGGTGCTGATGAGTGCGAGCAATGCCGGAAAATAGAGGCTTGATGCGGTGGTGGACTAATCTTGTCAAATATTTGGTATGTATCCTATTATTGTTATATGTTTTTGAGTTGCATTAGTAAATTTTGGAATTAGTTTTTGTTAATTGCAAGGCTTATATTAGGAAGCAAGTTATATATGATTGTAATTGCAGTATGAAATTAGTTGAGACGAGAGTTGGTAGAGCTTTTATAAATTTGTGGGAGGAAATTGAGGGAAATGGATGGAAGTTGATAAATTTATGACTGTGGGGCTGTTAGTTTCAATATTATATTGATAGTTATGTTGTCTAAATAGCATAATTATTTCATTATCTTTCAAATATAATATACCAGGTTCAGTATCATCTAGTATAAATAATGTAATGCTATATAGGAAAATCAGCGTGATTATGATCATTTTTTATCATATATGGCATGATTTGCCAGAAATTTAGATGTTATAAAATTATGACTAAAACTAGTCAGATGCCCCATTGCAACAGATGGTGTGTGTGTGTACTAGCAAAAAAATATGGTTATGGAGCTCATTTTTTTTATTCTTTAAAATTTTGCTTTTTAGGGAAAAAACATCAATTATATCATTGGGGAAATATTTCAAATTATGATCATAAACAATCTAGTTGAATAGGTATATTTTACTATTTATAAATATGGGATCGCAAGCATCTATTACAGATTAGGTATCAAACTTAGTGTGAAGGAGCTGAGGAGAAGAAGAGAAGGGAGAGAGACAAGGATAGAGAAGGCCTCCAGGGCTTCATTCGTCACCTCTGTTATAAAAAGTGTTATAATCATGGTAAGTGACCTATGTTTTGTAATGCCCCGCAACAACATCAATCATTTATTCCACTACATGGGGTCGGCTACATTAATCTTTTTTCTCCATTGTGTTATGTTATGAGTCAAATTCTCATTTAAATCTAATAAATGTCATTTCTATTATTTTCTAATCAAGTCTTTTTAGGTCTACCTCTACCTTTCTTAACATGAGCCAAATTTAATACATCTACTCTCCTAACAGGGTCATCGAAAGGACGCCGTTTTACATGAATAAACCATCTAAGGTGACTCTCTCTAATCTTATCTGTCACTGGAGCTACTCTAACCTTTCCACATATATGCTCGTTTTGTATCCTGTTTTTAAGAGCAAATCTACTCATCCACCTGAGCATCCTCATCTTAGCAACACTTAACTTAATATTATGCTTCTCTTTTAATAGCCAACATTATGCTCCATAAAGCATTGTAGGTCTCAACACCATCTTATAAAATTTTCCCTTAAGTTTGGGTGGTACTTTTATATCACACAAAAAAATCAAAGCATTCCTCCCCTTTAATCATCCAACTTGAATTCTACTAATAATATCCCCTTCTATTTCATTATCACTCTGAACAATAAACCCAAGATATCTAAAACGATTATGATTATTAATATCTTGATCGCTCAACGTCACAAACCCCCCACTAGATCTATTACTACTAATATTACACCCCAAGTATTCTATTTTAGATCTACTCAAATGAAAACCTTTAGACTCTAAGGTTGACCTCCATAATTTGAGTTTATCTTCAACTCCCTCTAGTCTTATCAACAAGAAGGATATCATCAGCAAAAAGTATACACCAGGGATCCTCTTGCAAATGTCTAGTAAGAACATTCATGACTAAAGCAAAAAATCTAAGGGTATTGATGCAATCCAATTGAAATAGGAAAATACTTGGTCAAAATACATTGTGTTTGACCACAAGTAACAGCTCTTGTATACATATCCCTAATGATTTGAATATAAGCATTATTAACTCCTTTTTTTTTCTAGAACTCTCCATAACACTTTTCTTGAAACTTTATCATATGCTTTCTCTAAATCAATAAATATTACATGTAGATCCTCCTATTCTATCTAAACTTCTCCATTAACCCTCTCAATAAATGAATAACTCCATAGTAAACCTACACGGCTTGAGAAACATTAGTACACGTCGTAACCTATGCTTCATAACTCTCTCCCAATATTTTAAAGTATGACATGTCAATTGAATTCCTCTAGAATTCGTACAATCTTATGTATCATCTTTATTCTTAAAAATAGGAATCAACACGCTCATTCTCCACTCATATGACATCTTTTTAGTCTTCAAAATAATTTTATAAAGTTTTGTGAGCCAAGAAATTCCTTCATCTTCTAAGCACTTCCACACCTGTATTGGAATATCATCAGGTCCACTAGTTTTTCCGCACTTCTTTTTCTTGAAAACCTTTCAAACTTCAGTTTTACTAATACGTCGATACAAAATAAAAATCAATCGTATTCTCACAATCTTCATTAAAAAGCTTAACAAAATATCACATCCACTTTTGTTGAATTACTCTTCTAAGAAAAGCACTTTTTAATCTTCATCCTAAATGTACTTCACTTGAATTAAATCCTTACTACTTATTTCTCTTTGTTTGGCTAACTTATACATATACTTTCGCCCTCTTCAGAATCTAATATATTATATAAATCATTAAAAGTTAAATTTTTTGCTTCACAAATTATTTTCTTAAACATCTTACGAGTCTTTATATATATTTCCCAACTTTAAGAGTTTTTAAATCTAAATTAATTATTTTTTTATTCTACTACCAGCTATTTTTATTATTAGGAACTTTTGCTTTTGAAACTCCAAGCACATCCTTTGCAACACTCTTAATATTACTAGATACCTTTCCTTTTTTCACATGTTATTTGCTTACCCATGTATAGACAAAATTTTAAGATCTCGAATCATACTCTCAAAAATATTTTTGTCAGTGTTCTTTAAATGCCTCCATCTAATATAAAATAATATTTCACTATATTTTTTATATTATGTCTCTTCATTTTAAAGTCCAAAACTAGTAAGCGATATTGGGTACATAAACTTTCACTTTGAATAACTTTACATTCTTGTCATTCTAAACAGTCTATTTTATTATAAGAAAATAATCAATCTGAGTTTTACTATATCTATTCTTATAAGTGATGAGATGCTCATATCTTTTTTTTTTTTTTAGTATTAGTAATTACAAAAGCATAAGCTTGAGCAAAATTTAAATTAGTCTTTTCACCTTCATTAGTCGCTCCAAACTCATAACCACCATGAATATTTTTAAAATTGTCCACATCTTTACCAACATGTCCATTTAAATCTCCTCCAATAAAAATTATTTCTTCAATAGCAATAGATATATTTTGAATTAATTCTTCTGAGTTATTTCAGAATTTTAATTTTAAACACATATCCAAACTTATTTGAGGAGTATAAACATTTATAATATTAATAATCTTAACATCAACAATAATCTTCAATGCTATAATTCTATTTCCAATTCTATAAATTTTTATAGCATTATTCTTCAAACTCTTATCTATAATCACACAAACACTATTTCTAGTATAATTTCTATCAGAATATCATAGTTTAAAGTCTAAACTATCAATCTACTTGCTTTCTCTCCAACCATTTAGTTTCCTGAATTCATAAAATATTTATCTTCTTATGAATCATAATATCAGCTAAGTCTCGTTGTATTCAGATCATACAATATGTTGCTTCTAGAGAATGCATAAGGGACATTCATGTATCATTTGTATACATTGTAGTTTTGCATTTCATAATAACTGTGATATTGAATTTATACACGTATTAGACACGCTAATGTTCATATAAGAATGAAGTAATAGACAAACAAACTTATATAATAAACATGACTAATGATTGATGATAGACTGATACATTAACATGATTGATGTGACTGATGAGAGATATGATTGATGATTCTGTATGTGATGTACACGATATGTGATATATTCTACTATGTTCTGTATTCTAAAGGACCAGAGGAGTGAAGATGATTTGGGTCTGCTGTCTAAATTTTTTATATGCATATGTTGGTCTGTCTTTTTTTGTTGTCTCATTGTATTCTCAGTGATGGGTTGTTGTTGAGTGCCCTATAGTGTATAAACGTTACAGTTCCGTTGAGCAGCTAGGAGTGAAGAGACGTATGAGAGACTAAGGCTTCGTTTGAGATGATTTTTTTATTGTTTTTCAAAGTAGTTTTTTTAGTACAACAAATAAATTTTTTATATTAAAAAGATGTTTCAAGAAGCAATAAGAAAGCCGTCCCAAACAAAGTCTAATACTAGCAAAAGCTAAGCTGGGATATATGTAATCATCTGGGTAATAAAGAACTTGAAGAAGGAAACCGACTTCAATAAAAAAAAGTTGGGACAAATGAAATTTTAATCTCTCTTTCTTCTGTTGAGAAAGACATAATGATGTGATAAGTTGCAGAATAGGATTATTCTCATAAATTTCATTCCTCTTGACACTTCTACATGTGCTGCATAATAATGTGAATTTATGAATGAGAATGCTATGTGTGAAACCAACGTAGAGGGAGACTAGAGGATGTTTTGTCGTTCGATCAGAGAGAAATTATTCCGTGCGGAGTCTGGACGAAAAAAATCTTTCAAACATGTGAGTGTACGCACTATGTATAAATTTGTATATAATGTGTATCAATTTTTTGTATCCATGTGCACTCCGTACGGAATAATTTCTCTCAATCCGGCTTGTGTCTCATTGTAAAGAAATTGTGTTGATGATTAGATATATATGATCATCAACCGAGGATTCTATGTAATATCCTCAGGAGGCATAAATGACCCCGTAGTATGATACTACGGCGTATTTCGTCTACTTTCTAACAACACTGTAATGTGATTCTTAGAGCTTTTTTATCTACCTCTTTATCTCTCTATCTTCTCTTTTCTCATTGTTCGTCTTCCTATTTATTTATTAGTAAAATTTTGATAACACTCAAGAGGCATATTTTAATTCAATAGAAGTTACATCATATGGTTTTTTTTTTTTTTCAATTAAGGTTTATTACTTCTTAAAGTAATTTTTTAGTATAAAAATTAAAATTTTTAACAGTAAAGCTGTTTTAAAAAGCAATTAGAAAGCCATTCTGTTTCGTTTGGGATGATTTTTTTGTTGCTTCTTAAAATAAATTTTTAATTAAAAAATTAAAAATTTTATACTAAAAAATTGTTTTAAAAAGCAATAAAAAAGTCGTCCCAAACGAAGCCTTAACGGAACATTTTATTGCTCGGCTACTCTGTAATCTTTTTTTTTGCTCGGCTACTTTGTAATCTTTTTTTTTTTTTCAATTAGTTGCCTTTGCAAAAAACTATTTTTTTTTTGGACATTTAGGTCATTTAAGGCAAACTCACACACACAATGCATACAGAAAGACTCTTAGTTGAAAGTTTAAGCTCTCAATCAATAGGCCAAGATGGGCTGTGTTTTTCTTTTAAATTTTGCTGATGAACAAACAGTGTTTCCAGGCTTTACCAAAATGATATTGAATTATCTGTTTAAGCGTTTTTGGGCTTCCAGGCTTCGCCTTTTAAAACAACTGCTGTTTGATTGGCGATATGATCGTTAGGCTTGGCTTATCCATTAAGGGCTGTTTGGTCGGCAGTATTAATTATGCATTTTTTATTTTTATTTTTAATTTCAACTTTTTACGATTCATTTCAAGTTAAAGAAATATAAAATAAAATTTTGAGAAATTTAAAATATTCCAACTATATATTTTCCAAGCATTTACAAATTGCTTGAATTAGATAATTTTCATAAGTAGTGCACATTCTAAGGCTTCATTCGGGATTTCTTTTTTACAGCTTTCTAAAGCAGCTTATTAGTTCAAAAAAAATTTGTACAAAAAAAAAACCGTTTTATAATCCTAAGTCCTCTTGGCCTATTATGGATTAGAAAGAAATATTCTTACTTTGCATTCTAATAATTATTACACCCTCTATGTTATCTGTATGCATGTTGGATCTTCTGGAATATTCGTAGCCGTAGAGAAATATAAAGTTTAACATCTTAGCTTTGTAGGAAGATCTAGCACGCATATAATAATAAAATAATTAATTATTGTATTTAATTGATCTATAGTCAAACAACTAATCTATTTTAAAATAGATCCATTATAATTATTTAATTTTTTAAAAAACTATGTATGATAAACATGTTTTAAAACTTCTATCGAACAAATTAGTTTGATTAGTTCAACCGTGTCCGGACAAAATTGATCAAAACTAACAGCTTAATCCGAGAACCAGTCAACCGGTTTATTTTTTTGATAAATCGGTCGGGTAAAAAATAGATTAATTTATTAGCCTTTTAATTTTGATTAGATTATTAGAATAAAATTATT